GGGCATAGAGGAGAAACAATAATGTACACTATGTGGGAAATAATGTGTTTTTTTTTTTTTACCTTAAACCGCATAAACACATTTCATTACACCAAATACACAAAATAATGTTTTTTTTAGGAACATCATATGACCCCTTTAATACATTTGGCTGCTTTTAGCCTTACCCTGGAGCTGGTTCACCCTCTGCCTATGATCACTTGTGTTCCTTATTTGTGAGTTTCTTAACCAAGTGTCTTTTATATTAATAAATATAATCTAAATGGTTGAGAATGTCGAGACTGGTTGATACAGGATTTGGAGCTAGAATGTAGGGTTGTAACCACCATTCAATTTCAATGGAGGCGTACCACTGCCTAAAACGTAAGAACGACACGTGATGGGTTTTTTATGTTCCCTGTTCGATATCGTCATGGGGAATTGGAGTGAACAGTGGATTATAGTCTGAGGAAGTTTTCTTCACCACTACCCTATTTTACATGGTGCAACTTTTGCTGACAAGCTGGCTGCTGAAACTGGCATTGTATGAAATGCATTCATAGGATTTAAAATTTTTTTTTTTTAAATGAGTTCAGTTAGCAGTTCCTTTGTTACTAACCTAAAACTATAACAGTTGTTGTAAGAGGAAGTCTGCTTAAATACATATCCAATATTTCTTTGAAAAGAAAAAGAAAGGCCAGAAGCTTGAGTATATTGAATATGAAAAAGTGAAAAGTACTAGCTGAATGACAAAGAATAAATGTACAGCATTTAATTGTATAATATACACTACAGTTCAAAAGTTAGTCGCCATTTTTAAAAGAAAAAGCCCCTTATGCTCACTAAGGCTGCTATTTGATCAAAAATACAAAGAGAAACATTGTGAAATATTATTACATTTTAAAATGACTGTTTTCTATTTGAATATATTGTAAAACATTTTTTATTCTTGTGATGCAAAGCTGAATTTTCAGCATCATTACTCCAGTCTTCAGTGTCACATGATCCTTCAGAAATCATTCAAATATACTGATTTACTGCTCAAGAAACAATTGTGCTGATTAATAATTTTGTGGAAACCACAAAACATTTTCAGATTCTTGATTTTTGCACAGAGATGCAAACCTAAAAATTACATTTTAAGTGATTAACCAATAACAAAATCAGCTTTAGGTTTAAAAGAAATAAAGCATCCATTGCTGAAGTAATAATAATCAGAATGTTATCTGTAAATCTAAAACTCATGTACTCAATAAAACGCACGAAAAGTGACCAACATATCAAGTCGTGAGCTTTTAAACTGCCAAAAAGTGAACGTTGACCACAACATCATTCTTCTTTTCAGCAAACAACTGTAAAAACTTCCACCACAAAGCAGTTCCTTTACTGTGTTTCTTTCAAATACTCTCATAAACAAGTATCCATCCTACTTGAACAGCAGCTTGATTAACAGCTCTAAGTGCATTGCTCCATTTCTGCTCGGGGTCCATCAACTCTCTACGATCCGTTTCAACACAGATCCCAGGCCACCTTTAGCCACTTGTAGAGGCGTCATCTTTTCCTTGTTCTCAATGTAGATGCTGGCACCATGTTCCACAAGGAGTTTTGCAGCCTCTGTTCGCTCCTCGTCACATGCAAGATGACTGGCAAAAACAATAAGAAGCTCATGCAGAACTGCTCTGAGGAAGCATTTATATATAATTATGAGCCAATAAAGAACACTGCTACACAGTAGTTCTACTCACAGTGGAGTGTTTCCCTCCGAGTCTTGAATGTTGGTAGAAGCACTCTCTTTCAAAAGAAGCTGAATGAGTCAGTAGTTGCCCTTGGCAGATGCTCTGTGTAGAGGTGTGGATTCCAGTTTGTCCGTCGCATTAAAGGCAGAGTAAGTGATTTCTGGTAGCCAATGTTGATATTTGAAATCACCAAAACAAACACGCCCCTACCCCAAAAGGGTCTTGCCCCTATTTTGATAGCTCCGCCCCACATATACGTACGCAACCCAGGCAACGATTAGTTCTGTGAAACAAAGCTAACCCAATGTTAGTAGACACGCCCCTTATTGCTGATTGGCTACAAGTTTGTTTTGCGATTCGGCCCGAATCAGTTTTCTAAAGTGTTTTTGAAAAATCACACACCCCTGCCTTTAAGATCTGCACTGTTTTCCAGCAAAATCTGGGCTATCTGTTGAAAAAAAAAAAAAAAGATAGAAAAACGATGCATTATAATTATTTTATTTAAAAATATTTCTTATTCAATATGATTGCAAAACTTTAATATTAATATAAAAATAAATGTTCACAATTTTCAGAAAGATTTAATGTATTTTTTTTTAAACTATGAGAGCTGGCAATATATTAATAAAAAATGAATATAAAAAGTTTCACAATTTTCTGGTTAAAAAAGAGCTGGCAAAATATGAATATAAAAAAATGAACAAGAAAATATGAATATAAAAAAATTTCACAATTTTCAGAAAGATTAAATGTAATCTTTTAATATAGCTGATTAAAAAGAGTTAGCAAAATATTCATATAAAAATATTAATAAGTTTTATGATTTTTAGAAAGATGTAATGTAATCATTTAATATAACTCTTTATTAAAAAAAAAAGAAAAAAAAAAAAAGTGTTGGCAATATATTATTATAAAACAAATAGGAAAATATTCATATAAATAGTTTCAAAATTTTCAGGAAAAAATATGAAACGAACTACCAGAAAAAAAATTCGCTTTCATCAAAACTTAGGGGCGGTCACATGTGGGAGTGGAATTCATTAGAGAATGGAAATCTCATGATCCATCACCCGAGTTCCTCATTTGAGAGTTTCTGAATGAAAAAAAAAAAAGCTGGCAATATACAGTGGGTGAAATAATTATTTGATCCCCAGCTGATTTTGCAAGTTTGCCCACTTACAAAGAAATAATTTTTCATGGTAGGTTTATTTTAACAGAGAGGGAGAAAAAAAACAAAAAAACAAGCACATTACATAAAAGGTTATATATTGATTAGCATTTGATTGAGTGAAATAAGAATTTGATCCTGAACAACCAGCAAGAATTCTGGCTCCCACAGATTGGTTATGTGCCCATGTGGAACACAGATTAGTCCTGTCACTTTAAGAAGTTACTCCTAATGTCATCTTGTTGGGTGTATAAGACACCTGTGCTGGCAATATACAGTGGGTGAAATAATTATTTGATCCCCAGCTGATTTTGCAAGTTTGCCCACTTACAAAGAAATAATTTTTCATGGTAGGTTTATTTTAACAGAGAGGGAGAAAAAAAACAAAAAAACAAGCACATTACATAAAAGGTTATATATTGATTAGCATTTGATTGAGTGAAATAAGAATTTGATCCTGAACAACCAGCAAGAATTCTGGCTCCCACAGATTGGTTATGTGCCCATGTGGAACACAGATTAGTCCTGTCACTTTAAGAAGTTACTCCTAATGTCATCTTGTTGGGTGTATAAGACACCTGTCCACACAATCTGTATCTTCCATTCCAACCTCTCCCACTACCATGGGCAAGAACAAAGAGCTGTCAAAGATTGTAGATCTGTACAAGGCTGGAATGGGCTACAAGACCATCAGCAAGAGGCTTGGTGAGAGGGGGACAACTGCTGGTGCAATAATTCAGAAATGGAAGAAATACAAATTAACCATCAATCACCCACGGTCTGGAGCTCCGTGCAAGATCTCACCTCATGGGGTAAGGATGAGGATGAGAGAGGTGAGGGATCAGCCCAGAGCTACACAGGAGGAGCTTGTTAATGAACTCAAGGCAGTTGGGCTAAAATAGCCCATACATACCTACATACTGAATGCTGCATGAAAAAAATTCAAAATGGAAAATAAATGAATAAATAAATCAACTCTTGGATCCCAAGTGATCAAGGGCTTAGGGTGTTCCAATTCAGCCCATTGCAAGGGTTCCGCAACATAAGCAATGACGTACATCCGAGTAAACAAGACGGAGGGAAGTTAGCGAGTGAAGGGCATAAAAAAATTTACTGAAACACAGCCTTTTAGAGAGGATCTGTGAAAAGGAGTAAACCAAAAACCCTCCTGAGATGTGTGCACACCTGGTGACCAACTACAAGAAACGTCTTACCTCTGTGCTTGCCAACAAGGGTTTCTCCACCAAAGTACCAAGTCATGTTTTGCTTGGCATTCAAATACTTATTTCACTCACTGAAATGCAAATCAATTTATAACCTTATTATAAGGTGTTTTTTGGTTGATATTCCGTCTCTATCCGTTAAAATTAACCTACCATAAAAATGATAGACCCTTAATTTCTTTTTATGTGGGTAAACTCACAAAAACAGTAGGGGATCAAATAATTATTTTCCTGCACTGCATTAATGGGGCTGCAACAAATGATTATTTTGATAATTAATTAATCAAAAATTATTAGAATGATTAATTGACTAATCATCATTATTTCACTGATTAATCAGTAGGCTTTGGTTGATTATTCAGCTTTTGTAATTCTTTAAAATATTGAGATATACATATTCTACACATATTCATATACATGTTTTTTATGTTTAATACTGTAAAGCTGCTTGCTTTAAAGCAATCTATTGCATATAGTGTTCTATAAAGAAACGTGACATGAGTCACATGACTTTACTGGAGTGTCGATTGCAGTGCACTTATATCAAACTTATTTTTACCACTAACCGTATTAGTCGAAAAATAATAACTCAAGTGAACAATAAAAAATGTTAAAAAGTAAATAAAAAAATAAAAATAATATATATATATATTAGTGCTGGGCGGTATACCGGTTCATACCGAATACCGGTGTTTATTTTTGTTATGATATGAATTTTTAAAATGCCGCAATACCAGTGTACGTCGCTTAAACAACCAGTAAGGGAGATATTGGCAAAATTTCACCTGTAGTAAGTCAGTCTTGTAACTAGGAATGTACTACAACCTTTGGAACATTAAAAAAACCCTTATTGTGAATCACAGTAATTGTTTTCCAAGAATAATTATGTACTGTATGTACAGTAAGGAATATGTTGGCAAAATTTAATGTGTAGTAATTCAGTTTGGTCACTAGGAATGTACTACAACCTTTGTAAAATAAAATAATAAACTTTTGGGCAATTACAGTAATTGTTTTCTAAGAATAATTATGTACTGTATGTACAGTAAGGGTGATATTGGCAAAATTTCATGTGTAGCAATTCAGTCTGGTCACTAGGAATGTACTACAACCTTTGGAAAATAAAAAAAACCTTTTGGGCAAATACAGTAATTGTTTTCTAAGAATAATTATGTACTGTACGTACAGTAAGAAAGAAATGTGCAAAATTTCACCTGTAGTAAGTAAGCCTTGTAGACTTTTGTTCAATTACAGTAATGGTTTTTGAAGATTAATTATGTACTGTATGTACAGTAAGGGAGATATTGGCAAAATTTCATGTGTAGCAATTCAGTCTGGTCACTAGGAATGTACTACAACCTTTGGAACATGAAAAAACCCTTTTGGTGAATTACAGTAATTGTTTTTTATGAATAATTATGTACTGTACGTACAGTAAGAAAGAAATGTGCAAAATTTCACCTGTAGTAAGTAAGCCTTGCAACTACAAACGTACTACAGCCTTTGGAACTTGAAAAAAACTCATTTGGTGAATTACAGTAATTGTTTTCTAAGAATAATTATGTACTGTACATACAGTAAGAAAGAAATTGGCAAAATTTCACCTGTAGTAAGTAAGCCTTGTAACTTCAAACGTACTACAACCTTTGGAACATAAAAAAACCCTTATGGTGAATTACTGTAATTGTTTTCTAAGAATAATTATGTACTGTATGTACAGTAAGAGTGATATTGGCAAACTTTCACCTGTAGTAAGTC